GTGACAGTAAAGACATTTATAATGTGACAAAAGATTTCTATTTCAAATAAATGCTGTTCTTTTGAACTTTCTATTCATCTGTGAATCCTGAAAAATAAAACACTAGTGTACAAATATGCAAGTAGTTTGATAATCTAAGAAAAACAATTAGATTATGCTGTTCAAAATGCTTCATGGGAGTGGATGGTCATCTCTATCTCTTTTGTCTTTTATTGAAGCATAAATCATCTCTGAGCTCAAGGTAAATCTTTATTTGTGTCCCTGGAGCACAAAAGCAGTCTTAAGTCGCTGGGGTATATTTGTAGCAATAGCCAACAATACATTGTATTGGTCAAAATTATAGATTTTTCTTTTATGCCAAAAATCATTAGGATATTAAGTAAAGATCATGTTCCATGAAGATATTTTGTAAATTTCCTACCGTAAATATATCAAAACTTAATTTTTGATTAGTAATATGCATTGCTAAGAACTTCATTTGGACAACTTTAAAGATGATTTTCTCAATCTTTAGATTTTTTTGCACCCTCAGATTCCAGATTTTCAAATAGTTGTATCTCAGCCAAATATTGTCCTTTCCTAACAAACCATACATCAATGGAAAGCTTATTTATTCAGCTTTCAGATTTTGCATACATTTCAATTTCGAAAAATTGACCCTTATGACAGGTTTTGTGGTCCAGGGTCACATTTGATAAAATAATGTTTAAATATGCATCATTAGTTTCTCCATGGAGAACATGAATTGGATTTTTACTTCCAGAACCCAACTTTTCCACTTTATACTACAACCAAAGCAGTCCATTAATGGAGTAACCGCGTAAGTTGTACCTGCTCGAGTTTCCCAGATACAGTGAGGATCTTGGGTGGCATGCGACTGTCTCTCTTGCCGTTGTTCCCGTCTCTGCCCTTTACCTCGTGGTTCTTCTCCGCGCCGTGACCCACCACGTTACCGCAAGCATCCAGAGACACTCTGGTGGTGTCCCGGCGGCCCGCGGCATTCCCCTCCAGCCTGCTCCCCCTGCTGGGACGAGACGCAGCGATGGTGAGCTGGCCTCGATCCGTGGTGGTGCTGCTCCTGCCTCGTTCGTCACTCGAGCCCTCCGAGGTGCAGGGAGCTGCGTGGAGGCGGTCGGAGGGGCCGCGGCGGGACAGGGGAGGGCCACGAGGAAGGGTGGTGCGTGTGCCCACGCTCTTCATGGCAAACTCCTGCTCACCGGCCACCCCGCTGCCTACACTGCCCATGCTGGGGAACCAGAGCGTCACTCAACGCCGCAACCCTCCGCATGGGCCATCACAGCTGCCGGACCTCCAGACATTTATTCATTTTATAATATTACAGAAGATTCTGTTTTGAATAATTGCTGTTGTTTTGAACTTAAAGAATCCTGTAAAAACATGATGCTTCAGAAATCATCAACAATATTCTGATTTTGTCGTGCTGCGCAATATTTTTGTGGGAACTGTGATACATTTAGTTTTTCAGGATTCACAGATGAATAGAAAGTTCAAAAGAACAGCATTTATTTGAAATAGAATTTTTTTTTCACATTATAAATGTCACTTTTGATCAATTTAGGATCAAACTACTTTGTACACTAGTGTTGTACACTTAATGTTTTCAAAAGAAGGCTCTCCTGCTCACCTAAGCTGCATTTATTTGATAAAATATACAGTAAAAATAGTGAAATATTATTAGAATTTAAAACAGCTGTTGTCTATGTGAATATCTGTTAAACTGTAATTTATTTCTGTGATGCGCAGCTGTATTTTCAGCATCATTACTCCAGTCTTCAGTGTCACATGATCTTCAGAAATCATTCTAATATTCTGCTCGAGAAACATTTCTGATTATTATCAATGTTGAAAACAGTTGTGCTGAACAATATTTATAATAATATTTCACAATATTACAGTTTTTGCTGTATTTTGCCTTTGTGAGAAGAAGAGGCTTGTTTCAGAAACATAAAAAATTCTATCAACCCCAAACCTCAAATATGCAAGTAGTCTGATAGGAATTATTTGATTTTGAACATTTTATTCAAAAGCACAGACAGTAGCAATGCAAATTGCTCAGAAAGGTTTAAGAGATGTAGGTGAGACAACAGCAAAACAATGGCGAGCTTCAGTGCACGATCCCCAACCATAAACAAATGCACTTACTATAACCAAACCTTACTGTGCGTTACGCAAACATCAGCATCACGTGAGCCGGCAGCCAGATTGATCCAAGCTTGTGTTTGACACCGGTAACGTGACATCCATGTGCATGAAAACACACCATGAAAGACTGAAGCTGTTTGATCTCACAATGAGCTGCAGCACCATGCGCGGCCAACAGGGGCTTCACACTCCAGTGCTTTGCCATTACCTCATCTGTTCTCGCAGTTACACATCTCACACACATTTGCATTGGCACCTCGGCTTGTTATGGGCCACGAGGTCGCCGTGTGTGGCTTTGTGTGTAAAGGGAGGAATGGTTAAACTTTTATTGGCTCCACAAGGCCCGGAATCGTCATGAAAGCCAATGCACAACAAGTTGCACAATCATCTCAGACCTCAGATGACCAAACTCTCTCCAAACCCTGTGCGTCTGCACAAAAGATTGCATGCGCTATTGTTATCTAACGGCTGAATGGAGATCTGCAGCACCTTCAGAGAGCGCGAATCCCTTTGAGCATCAAAACACTGCATCTTATTATAGACACACTCTCCATTTTCGGCTCTCCACACAAACAAAGACGCACCATGAAGATGGAAACCAGGAGATGGGTTGCTTTTTCCCTCCTTCCCACTATTAGTGCATTACATAATGCGTCCTCGCTGCTTTATCTGGGTCCGTTCACTGGTTTCAGTCGCAGTCTCTCTCTCTCTCTCTATTCTTCTATAATCAGTCGCTTCAGACATCGACACCGCTGTCGTATGAAATCCACATGACTGCGATCGTACTCACTGTTTCAGCACCGCGGACAGCGACGCGCGTCACAGCAGCCGCGTTCATTCACCGAGCCGGTCGCGTCGCGTCCATGAAACCCAGCGGTGTGTATCTTGACAGGAGCAGGTCTCGGGTGATGATGAGGAGGAGGAGGATGATGATGATGATAGTGTATCAGCTGAGCCACACGCCCACCTCCGCCCCGCCCCTCTGCCGCACGCCAGCAACGCCCCCCGAAACGCCGACGGCACTGCGCATGCGCGTAGTATATGTCACTATATGGCGCTTGCCTTGCGTACTTCGTGATCCTCCAAAAGGATGTGCAATATCAGTAAGAGAACATTTCTGTTTTTCCTCAAACATATTGTTTAGGAGCTTCGGAATTGTTGTTTCACTACCCCAAGTCTTCGTAAAGGGGTTCAAAATAATAGTTTTTGCTCACCATAATATTTTCTTTAATAATTAATTGACGCAGATTGTTCACAACAGAGCTGCAACTGAGGGCGCAGAGGCGTTTCTGAATGAATCGGTGGTTTGGAATGATTCGGTTTTGTAAATGATTCAAATGACTCGCTCATAGAGACAGGTACTTGTCGCCGCCTTCTGGTGGAACGATGTAACTTGCAGAAAGAGTCGAGGCGGAGTGAAACAAACAGTGAAAAGGCTGTTAAATATGAGCAGTATTGGGGGTAACGGATTACAAGTAACGCGAGTTACGTGATCAGATTACCTTTCCAAGTAACTAGTAAAGTAATGCATGACTTTTTAATTTACAAGGAAATATCAGAGTTACTTTTCCACGCCAGTTAGTTTGTTGAGAGAATCAGGAGTGAGTGCAGATGCACTGTGTGTGAACATGACGTTACTATAGATCTAGACTCAATGTGAACATGCATTTCTCACTCGCACAGAAACAGATTCAGTGTTCCTCAAAATGAAGAAAAACAGTGAAATGCAAACTCAGAATATGAAGCAAACATGCAATAATTAAATATGATAAATAAAACAAATATCCTTTATGTGTTTTAATCCCATTTTATTAACCAGTATCTTTGCCGCTGACCTTCAATGATCCAATCCAACCATAATAATAAGCAAAAATGACTTTAGACAAACATAACATTTGTGCTTACTTTTTTTTATTGCTGAAAAGGGAATGAGCCCAGCCCAGATGAGAAAAAGTAACGTAACACATTACTTTCCAAAACAGTGAAAAGGCTGTTAAATATGAGCAGTATTGGGGGTAACGGATTACAAGTAACGCGAGTTACGTAATCAGATTACTTTATATGAGTACAGACATATGTGGCCGTGGGTCGTAAATTAAAGGGGGCATTTAATTAATTTGCACAATTAAACTAAAGCTATCATGGCTGTGAATAAATTAAAAATGAAATGAAAAGTGTTGATTACGGCATTAAATTTAGATTTGTTAATATCGCATCATATTTCTATTTACGCGTTCGTACAACATTGCGCACTATAAACAATCACACATGATTCTGTTGAGCTTATGAAAGCAATGGCCAATCAGAAGTGCGATTTTCATCAGATTTTGAGCCGATTTCTGACTTGTGCGACTTTTTTTTTTTTGAGTCGGGGCGAATTTCAGCTTTGTCGTGCAGTGTAAAGGGGGTAGAATTCCTGATAATTTACTCGCCCTCATGTCATCCAAGATGTTCACGTCTTTCTGTCTTCAGTCGCAAAGAAATGAAGGTTTTTGAGGAAACCATTCCAGGATTTTTCTCCATATAATGGACTTCAATGGGGACCAACTTCAGTGCAGTTTCAGTGCAGCTTCAGAGAGCTCTACACGATCCCAACCGAGGAATAAGAGTCTTATCTAGCCAAACCATCGCTCATTTTCTAAAAAAAATAAAATAAACATTTATATGCTTTTTAACCACCGATGCTGGACTTCACGCATGACGTAATCACGTTGGAAAGCTCGCACGCGGTCAGCTCTTCCTCTGTGTGCTCCGGTTCAGAAATGTAGAGTAGGGTGAAAAACTCCATCTCATTTTCTCCTCCAACTTCAAAATCGTCCGACATCGCTGTTTTACCTTTTTTGTAAAGGGCGTTTGACTTTCTTTGCACGTTCGCTTTGTAAACACAGGGTCGGTGCTTCCGCCTACGTCACGCGTACGTCACCTTTCCAACGTGATTACGTCATGCGTAGTATATAAAACGTCTACAATTCATTTATACTGAAATGCTGAACATACAGACTCCATTCAAACTTTGTGTGGTGGATATGAATGATTGCGTATTGGTTTTAAAATGTAATACTTTTCCTGACTTGTATTAATAGAATGTTCAATATTCAAAAGCAGCAGTGACGATGCGATATTTGCATACTGATGTGCGATTAGTCTTGTCATCCTTGCATATATTTAACCATTTCTAGTCATCTTTACTCTTTGCATTGACTTAATTGCCTAAAAAGTGTTTATTTGAGGTAATGTATTGCCATGTATTTCTCATGATTCAATCACAGAAACCCAGAGAAATGAATCTCGCGCATCTCTCCTCCTCCATAATTGTTTTCCCCCCCCCATCATGTCCATCAGTGTCTGTTCACTTTGCGTTTTCTCTTCCAGGAGAGCTGCATATACAGGTTATTTCAGCTCTCGGTCTCCATTCACACGTTCACGGATGACGTCAACGCGCAGCTGTTACCATGGGAACCGTCTCCAGCAAAGAGACGCGTGTCACGTGACCATCATAAAACAGCATGTATTTGTTAATGTCAGATCATATTAGTCACATCTCTGAGGATGTTTAGATGGCATGGACGGGGATAAAGGTACAGGAAAGTATTTGATTTAAAAATATATATTTTGTTTTGTTTTGTGGTGAGCTAGTATCAATACAAATACTTTAGCTACAGTAATATGTTTTGTGTGATATTTAAGTTAATACTTGTTTAAAACAATCACTTGTTTGTACCATTTTCTGTTTATTTCGAATAAAATAATTGAATTTACTTCAGTAAATACACTGTCATTTAAATGTGTTCACTTTAAAAATACAGAAAATGTAATTTAAAAAAAGCATATTATCCTGAAAGCTTGAAGGAGATCCCATAGTAATTTAATATGGCTTTACAGTACCAATATATTTTATATATTTTGTTAATTATTATTATTTATATATTATCAATATCATGTTTGTTTAATATGATGGTTTCATTATAAATATGGTGATTATGTATTTTTTATTCTATTATTATATATTAAAATTAAACACCCTAATTAATAAATTATATTAATATTATCTGAATCTAACCATGTCAGTTAATAAAAAAACAAAATACTTTAACATATAATTTTCAGTTATTGAATAAACTGTTGAGTTAGTTTAGTTTAATAATAATTTAATTGTTTTTATGTAATAATATTTTATTTATTTAAAACAATACAGAAATATAAAATAATTTAATATTTCGCTTTAAAAAATACAGAAATATAAAATAATTTAATATTTCGCTTTAAAAAATACAAAATACAGAAATATAAAATAATTTAATATTTCGCTTTAAAAAATACAAAATACAGAAATAATTTAATATTTCGCTTTAAAAAATACAGAAATATAAAATAATTTAATATTTCGCTTTAAAAACAATACAGAAATATAAAATAATTTAATATTTCTCTTAAACAAAAATACAGAAATCTAAAATAATTTAATATTTCGCTTTAAAAAAATACAGAAATATATAATAATGTAATATCGCTTAACAGTAAAAATTATGTTTTATATATCATATTTAAATAATATTATTATATGAATATAATTTTTTAATAAAATGGTTTCATTATAAATATGGTGATTATGAATATTATATATTAGGTGGACACCCAAATAATAATAAATGATATTATCTGAATCTAACCATATCACGTCAAATGAAAAACCCACATACTATACTTTTACATATTCTTCAGTTACTGAAAAACTGATGATTTGTTTACTTTGAACAAAACTTTTGCCTCAAAATATATTTGGTAGCTGTAATAATTCTCATTTACTACATTTAAAAACTTTTTTTTTTTTTATTAATGCCAAGGTACCAAATATAAAAATACAGAGAATATCAACATTACATACAAAGAGGTGACATTACATGCAAAGCACCATTTATAGATGTATGTAACAATAAATGAATAATACAAAACGAAAGATTTAACAAAATAAATTAACCGTTTTAAAAGCCTTGAGATTCTTGGAAGATTAAATAGTTTGGATATACTGTTGAACCTATTTTTTATAAACAATATATAAAGGATTTTGATTAGTGAATTTACTGCGGTGAATATGAAATTTTGCAAGAAGTAATAACAGGTTAATAATAAAATATTCAGTAATTTTATCTTTTTGTATATTAAAGAAGCCAAACAGTACATCCTTAAAAAGCAGAGAGAAACCCTGGAGTACACTGCGATTGATAACATTAGAAAATTCAATCCAAAATAGCTGTGTGTGAGGACAATCCTCTTTTATACAATGTCTTGATTGTTCCAAATGAAGTACCGGTGAGGGGAGAAGTTGTGCTTAAAGATTAATGACCATGCAAGTAATGCCTGTTTATGAAATTTAGATAAATTGTAAGGGATTCTAGCAATACTATAATTACAGATCAAAAGGAAAGGGAGACCACCTAATTTGGACAAGAAGTAATTCCAGATTGAGTTTGCATTACATAAAAACTGTCTAATCCAATTAATTTTGAACGTGTTGTTCAAAGAAGAGAAATCAAGGAAATTCAACCCACCATACTCATATGTGTTCATTAATACAGACTTCTTAACATAATGTATTTTGTTTTTCCAAACAAAATTAAACAGGATTTCCACAGCTGCCGGTTTTCTACCGTAAATTTTACTGAATTTTTTTTACAGTGTATGTAAGCCTGGAGATGCCCTCCGCCTTCAACTCTCTCTGCAACCATGCATTGAATCTTCTTTGGGCTTTTAACATAACCGGGTCAAAATTCAAGGTACATCTTTTATCTTGATCTTTAGTTATCACAATGCCTAAATATGTAATTTCAGATTTAACTGGAATATTATAAATGATGGGTGCTGTACAGTCTTTAATAGGCATTAATTCACATTTGCCTATGTTTAGATTAAGACCCGAAGCTTCAGAGAAAAGTTTTATATAATTAATTGCTATAGGGATTTGGGAAGCATCTCTTAAAAATAAGGTGGTGTCATCTGCTAATTGACTAATACAAATTTCTCGATCCGCTATATGGATACCCTGAATACCACTTTCACATACAGATGTTGATCACTGATCATGTCCATTAAAGTGGAATTTTCTATAGTATAATTGTACCCATACACATTTAATAAAACTGAGATGGTCTGACCAAGTGAAACCACTAACAAGAGAAAATGACCCTTGGGATCACCAACAACATGTAGAATCTCACCAGCAAACTTATTTTTAAAAATGGTGACACCTGCTGATCGCTCTGTGCCGTGCGACATCCATACATCACTGCCCCACTGGGATCTCCAAAATTTAACATCGTCCTGTGTGGAATGGGTTTCTTGAAAAAAGCAAAAGTCTGATCCATGGTTTTTAACAAACAAAAAGAGGGCTTTGCGCTTCACATTGTTTCTTAGACCCCTGGCATTAAGAGAAATGAACGATATCGACATTGATAAACAAACAGCAATGAACTGCTGTCAACACAAATCAAAACAAAGGCAAAAAGTCAAAATTGACTGATAGATGAAAAGAAAACGGAGATGAACAGAGCTTAACTGACCAATGTAAATTATAATTTTAAACGTCCAGCATTCTCATTTACTACATAAATCTATAACATGTTTAAAAATGACGTAGTAGACGAATAGCAAAATTGCGTCACAAAAATGTCTCAAACCGGATGTTTAGAAAAGAGTTTTGTGCCATCTAGTGGACTAGAGGAACCCCCATCATCTGTTTATTAAAGTGCCCTTATTATGGGTTAGGAGCGTTCTTGTTTTGGCTTTGGGAGTCCAAAACAACAGGCTGACATGCATGCAAGGTAAAAAAAAAACAAAAACATTTTAATTGTCTTATAATATGCACTTATGTTTACCTTATTTGCTCAACGACTCCCAAACGATTCGTTCAACGATTCATTTTTCAAAACCGTTCCTTTGCGTGACGCTAGTCTGCCGTGATTGGTCCGATGATGTCCCAGTCTTTTTGTGATTGGTCTACTGCGTGCAGCACATGTGAGAAATGGAACGCCCATCAAGTTTTCTCGGCATCTGCGCACGCAACAAGTGGGCGGGCATAAATATGCTAATGTTTCATGTTGACGTCAACATGAAACGGCTAAAGATTTGTTTAAAAAAACGACTCGTTTCAGTCCACTCTTTCTTTTGAGAGATAATAACTTTATACACGGTGCACTTTCAGGTTTAAAACTTTGCAGGATGTTTTCATTCAGCTGTGGGCACATATAGGGGCACTTTAAGGGAACACACTATAGATGTAGTGAACTAGATGATGGTTTGATTCATTTTCTCTTCATGTTTCTTTGTGCAGATCTTCTCCTCCACCACTAGATGTCCTCAGCTGCTTTATCAAACTCCACACAGCTGGAGCAGAAGAATGCTTGAACATTTATTCATTTTTATTCCTTAAACAGATTTTTAAGACCTAAAAAGAACACAAATCTATCCAAACATTAGAACATCGAGGAGAAGGAGCGCCGCAGCTGCAGATCTCCGGAGGACCGACGCGCCTGCAGCTGCATGTCTGTGTCCAGGGACCTGCGGCACACATGATTAGAAAACACTCAGAAAAGCTGATTAACCTCTGCCTGTTATCAGCCGTGTGTTTTTGCCAGGGTCCCCGGACGTTCCCCCAAACCATCGATTCCCAAAACTTTTCATCATCCAAGCCGCTTTGAGCTAAAATATTTACTTGAGGTTGAGATGTTATTTTGAGAGTCGATACATCCACACATTCACATGTTCACGGTTCTCTGATGTTGATTAATGGTCACGTGACATGCAGGTAAACAAATGCAATATTTAATTTTTCATATGATTTTTCTTTACTGATCTTTTTGTGTGGCTCTGATAGGATGTGTATAAGTATTGCTGTGTTGTATGTGTTTGTTGTCTCATGTTTACCTATGATTACCTGCCAAGGGACCGCGGATGAAAACTATAGCCATTGGCTAAATTCGGTATAATGCATGAAATGGAAACATTTATGTTAAAATTGTGCATGGACCCTTTTCAAAGAAATTTAAATAATAATAAAAAAAAATTCAGTGTTTTATTTTGATTGTGTTTGTTTTAAAAATTATTCATTTATTGTAAATGTAAATTTTATTTATTACATTTACCATTTTTAAAATTATTTATTAAGTTTATTTTTACATTTTATGTAATTTTTAGTTCATTTATATTTTTGTTGTTTTTATTTTTAATTATTTATTGATTTTAATTGTACTTTTTATATTTTAATAGTTTTTGTTTATTTATTTGTGACGTTACATTTATATCATTTAATTGTTGGTGTTTTATTTTTGTTTTCAATTTTTTATTAGTTTATTCATTTTTATTGTGTGGTTTTTAGCAAGTTTTATATTTTAATTGTTTTTATTTTTAAATTATTTATTAACTTTCAATGTACAATTTTTAAGTGTTATATTTTTAATATTCTTTGTTTATTTATTGTGACATTACATTTTTATTTATTTTTTATTTGAATTTTATTTTTAAATTATTTATTTGTTTTAATTTTACATCATGATTTAATTTTTAGGAAGTGTTTTTTTATTGTTTATATAATTTCATTTGTCATTTTTATGACTTTTTTTAGTAAGTGTTAGATTTTAATTGTTTATATTTTAAAATTATTTGTTTTAATTTTATATTTAATTGATTTAATTTTTGGTAAGTGTTAGATTTTAAGTTTCATTCTTATTTATTTTTAAAAAAAATTTTATTTGACATTTTAATGATTTAATTTGTAGCAAGTGTTTTATTTTAATTGTTTTTATTTTTTAATTTATTTATTATTTTTTATTAAAAAAATTTCAATTATTAATTTAATTTACATTTTTATTATTTAAATTTTAAGTTTTATGTTGATTGTTTTTATTTTAAAATGATCTTATAATTTTACATTTTTAAGATTTATTTCTAGTGTATTATTTTTAATTGTTTTTATTCTATCTATCTATCTATCTATCTGTCTATCTATAGCTTTTGATCAGCTCATGCAAAATCGGATAATCGGCCGATAAATCGGAGCGCTCCGTGGCACTCACCGGGTGCGTAACTGAGCACTCTTACATCCGGCTCCTCCTCGGCTAACACGCGGAACATCATGTCGCGGGCGGCTTTCCCGATGCAGTACAGGACCCACGACGGGAAGGGCTTCAGCGCACACAGAGAGCTGATGTTGACCACTGAACGCCGCAGACCCAGATGGCGAGGAAACGCTTGCAGGACGCCGGCCGTCAGACTGAGCGCTCCGCTGATGTTCAGCGACAGATAACGGTTGACTTCCACCGGATCCGTGAACGTCAGAGCGAAGCGAGACACGTCACCCAGAGACGCTAAAACCAAAGAAGACCAACTGTCACTCACGTTCTTCACACTACAAGAGAAAGATCAGCTTTGAAATATCGAAACATTCTAAAATCAAGATACATTTACTTGAAACTAAGTGACATCAGAAATAAAGTCTTGTTTTCTGAGAAGTCTGTTAAAATTAAGCAAATTGCTTAAGACAAGAAAAATATCTGCCAATGTTGTTTTCCCCTTTGAATTAAGTTTATTTTTCTGACCTCATTAGTAGATATTTGTTCCTGTTTTAAGCATAAACTAAAAATGCATTTTTCAGAAAACGAACTTGATAAAGTCATTTTGCTTCAAGTAAATGTGTCTTTATTTTAAGATCGTTTAAATATTTTTACTGGAAAACAAGAGAAAAATAATAAGTAAGAAAATCATATTTTGCAATGTGTATAAATCAATAATAAAAATAAGATTAAAATAAATGCAATAAAAATAAATATAATTCAATGAATATATTGTAATAATTTTTTAAGTAAAAAAATATAAATAAAATATTTTTAAGAATTACATTAAAATTAGATTTAAATTAATACATAATACGTCTAAAAGTACAGCACTAAAATGTTAATGTTTTTTATTTAACAATATTTTAATATTAGGACTGGAAAACAAGACTAAAATACTAAATCAATAATAAAAAAGATGAAAATAAATTGCTAAAATTTAATAATACATAAAAAAAATAAAATTACATTTTATCGATTAAATTTCTTTTTTTTAAATATTCATTTATTTAGCATTTTTTTGGTGTGTTTTATTTAATTATTTTATTGTTTTTCAATTATTTATTTAAATTAACATTTTTATTACTGAAATTTTTAGTACGTTTTTATCTTTATTGTTTTTATTTTTAAATTGTGTTTTAATTTTAAATTAAGATTTATTTCTAATGTGTTATTTTTACTATTGTTTTTTATATTTTAAAAAAATAAAAATTTTTAAAATTTTTAAAATAATTAAATAATAAAAAGTAGATTTAAATCAATGAATATATCTAACAGTACAATACTATAATGTTTTTTTTTTTTTTTTTTAGATTTAATAATGTTTAGATATTTGTACTGGAAAACAAGACAAAAACACTGAGTTAGATAAGCATTTTTTTGCAGTGCAATGACAAACTCAAGCGCACCTGCGTTATTGATCAGGAGCAAGTGGTCCATTTCAGACACTGAAGTCTCTTTAGCTGCCTGAACCGTTTTTTCCACGCCTTCCTTCTTCTCCAGATCGGCTTGCACGCAGCAGACGTCCAGCTGGTTCTGTCCGCCGTACAGGGTTATGATGTCCTCCTTCAGCTGGTTGAGCTGCTCTGTGGTTCGAGCGACCAGCATCAGGACGGATCTGGGCTTCAGCAGGCAGCTGAGCTGAAACGCCAGCGTCCGGCCGAAGCCTTTAGACGCTCCTGTGATGATGCACAGAGCTCTGCCCAGATGCCTGGGCTCTCGAGAGATCTCGTCTTCCATCGAAGGCCTTCAGAGACGCTGGACTTCAGATGATGAGGGTTCTCAGCAGCGTGTGGCGCTTTATATCCAGTGACTGCGAGAGAAACTAATCCATTTCACGCCGTTTCATAAAAGATCATTCATAAAGAGAGAGTGAATGCCATTAAATAATGTATGAGAGTGACCATGAGTGATGGAACAATTCAGATTTGTTAGTATTTTTTAATAAAGTGTCTTCTGCTCATCAAGGCAAAAATACAGTAAAAATAGTGAAATATTATTAGAATTTCAATCAGCTGTGTTCTATGTGAATATCTGTTAAACTGTAATTTATTTCTGTGATCAAAGCTGTATTTTCAGCATCATTACTCATTACTCCAGTCTTCAGTGTTACATGATCTTCAGAAATCATTCTAATATTCTGCTCGAGAAACATTTCTGATTATTATCAATGTTGATACAATGTTGAAACTGATACATTTTATTTTTCAGGATTCACAGATGAACAGAAAGTTCAAAAGAACAGCGTTTATTTGAAACAGAAATCTTTTGTAACATTATAAATGCCTTCACTGTCACTTTTGATCAATTTAATGTGTTCTTGATGAATAAAAATATTAATTTCTTTTTTTAATCTAACTTGCAACATTGCTATCTAACTTTTCAACATTGATAATAATCAGAAATGTTTCTTGAGCAGCAAATCAGAATATTAGAATGATTTCTGAAGATCATGTGACACTGAAGACTGGAGTAATGATGCTGAAAATACAGCTTTGATCACAGAAATAAATTACAGTTTAACAGATATTCACATAGAAAACAGCTGTTTTAAATTATAATAATATTTCACAATTTTTACTGTATTTTTTATCAAATTAACACAGCCTCGGTGAGCAGAAGAGACTTAAAAAAAACATTGATAAATCATAATGGTTCTGAACTTTTGACCAGCAGTGTAACTTAAAATTACACTGAGTTTCATCTAAAACACTCACTAATGAGACAGACAAGCAGTTTATTATACAGGAACCCACAGAACGAGTGAAGCAGAATAACAGCCGGAGCAGAAGTGTAAATGCGGAACATATATATATATATATATACTGTAGCTTTAAGAACTGGATTAACTACACCTAAAACTGAACTTAAAAATGTATATAAATATTTCATAAAAACATAAAAGCAAAAAAAAAAACAAAAAAAAATTACTAAAACTTTAACTAAAATAATTTGAGGATGGAAAAATAAAAAATAAAAACTACACAGTAAAATAGATTTTTTTGTTGTTGTTGGAATTATTGGAATGGGTGTGTTTTACAAGAAAGTACTATTAGTGTCAAACATAAGATTTACATTTTCTTATACATATCTTTAAATAATCAGGCACCCTTATATCTTGCAATTTAACCTTTTGATTCCTTATAATCCCCCGAGAGCTTTGCTCTCAGAAAATGCTAAACTTCTTGTAGTGCCCAGAACTAATCGTTGTCAAAAAGGTGATTTTCAGTAATGAGCTGCCTGTTCAAAATCTGTTTCGTGTTGGCAGTTTATGACAGTAAAACTTTACCGTGTGTGGTATATGCGGTGTCTATATGTGTGCTTATCCTTTAGTTTTTTCTGTAAAGCACTTTGGTCAACACCTGCAGTGTTATATGCATAAACAAGACGAGACAAGATGAACTTTTGGCCAAGATCTTGTACTGACAATGGGAAAGTCGAACCCATATTTAAAGCTGACTTCAGCACATCCCAAAGACTTTCAACACAGTCCTTCAGAGTTTAGCTCCAACACACACACACCTATAACTAACCCTGAAGAACTTGATTGTCTGGATCAAATGCATTTAACTGCATCAAAGCTTGAAAGCAAAAGGCTAGTAAAGTATGTTAACATAAAGATATGACAAAGATTTTTGGTACACATTATCTTTAAGGTGTCTAGTATTAATATATGAATTCACATATATTCAGTTTTGTTGAGTGTGGTCATAGAATGAGTCACAATAGTGAGCGGTGGGATAACAGTGAACTTAGGTTTACATATAAATCCAGTTAATCCAGTGAAAATTACAGTAAAATGTTGCAATGACAAAATATTGCACTAAATTAAAAATTCTAATGTTACAAAAAATTTACAATATTGATGTTGTAATACTGGTAGCACTAATAATACAAATTTGATGTTATATTTGACAAAAAAGTAACAATTTTGAAATGCGCTGATGGTTGAATTTTTTTGTTCCTATCAATGTTGCATGAAGTTTTTTTTATGCATAATAACAATAACCCTAGAATGTGATCAAACAGTTTAAAATAGCTGGGCTAAGATATATAAAAAATTTTATGACTGCAGAAATATGTTAATTCAGTACACACATTATTCCACCGGTCACAATTGAACCCGATGAATCTTGACATTGATATTGCATTGATATTGTATGGTTGTTTGAGGAATAAAAAGCAATACACTGGATCAGTTAGGGTTGAAAGAATTGTTGCCGAACATGCCAGAAACACATTAATCACTGCGATAATGATCCAATCCTGAACTCTTAAATAATGAAGTATTTGCTTGCTTAAATCCAAACGGCGATGACTTTTTGGCCAAGCAGTGTGTGTGTGTGTGTGTTTGCAATGATGCTGGTTGATGAATATATGTTAATTTAGTATCATTGATATTAATATTTTGAGTTAGTTTTTATTTTTCCATTTTTATTTAAAGTTTTTAAATTTTTGTAAAATTACTAGTTTTAATAAATTTATATTTTAGCTTTAGTAATTAAATTTAAACTAAATGAAAATGAGAAATGTTGCCTTGGCAAGTTTTTTAAAAATATTTTATTTTATTGCAGTACATTTTTTAAAATATATATATTTTTTGTTTTAACTGGACTTGTTTTAAGTTTAGTTTTAATGAGCACTCATCAAAAAAGCTCAAATATAAGAGTTTTTCTCTGTGTCACATGATCGCGACATGATTCCTAAAACTTCCATTTGTGCTTTTTCCGAGTTTCATCACTATTAGTATATTCTGTTATTAGTCATCACTGAGTAGATGTGTCCAAGCGTTTGACTGGTTGTGTAAATTAGGCTCAGATCAGATCGTAAAGTCAGTTATTCATCACAATGTTAGTGAATTAATTGAGTGCTTAAGTGCTTTTTCACAGTTTTATTCTTTAGCATTGTTGTGGATTTGTGTCCGAAGGCCATCCAGCGGTCTCTTCTCCTCTCTTGACTGGTGGCTCCAACTGAGGGACAAAAATATCCTGCGGGATCCCAAACGAGGCTCTTACGGTGAGGTCAAACGTGCATGCATATGAAAAGCGTGCAAATGTTAAAAGAGTGTTAAATCGCATCCAGCTGTCACTGTTGCATGCAATGCTTTCTGCTCTCTTCTCAAAGCTCAGGGTTCGACTGAGACGCATCCCGTCTACACCTCGAACCCCCCTGTGAACCCCCACATAGTACAGCTGGAGGCTTCGGCTATTTTAGTAGGAGCTGGTGAATCCCAGCTGCCATGCAGAAGCTCGTCGGCATCGGTGAAGACGGCAGACATGGAGTTTGTGGAAGTGTTTGAGTCTCCGGGGAAAGGCAGGGGTCTGCGGGCCACCAGAGAGGTCTGGGCCGGAGACGTTCTGTTCGCTGAACCCCCTTTTGCTTCGGTTGTGTTTGAGAGGTAAGAGTTCAGCGAAACATGATGAAGGAGGAACGCCAGGTTTAGTAAATCAGAGCAATGATGGAATATATGTGACCCTGGAGCACAAAACCAGTCATAAGGGTCAATTTTTTGAAATTGAGATTTATGCATTATCTGAATAAATAAGCTTTCCATTGATGTATGGTTTGTATATTTGGACAATATTTGGCTGAAATACAACTATTTGAAAATCTGGAATCTGAGGGTGCAAAAAAATCTAAATATTGAGAAAATCATCTTTAAAGTTGTTCAAATGAAGTTCTTAGCAATGCATATTACTAATCAAAAATTAAGTTTTGATATATTTACGGTAGGACATTTACAAAATATCTTCATGGAACATGATCTTTGCTTAATATCCTAATGATTTGTGGCAAAAAAGAAAAATGGATAATTGTGACCCATACAATGTATTGTTGGCTATTGCTACAAATATACCCCAGCGACTTAAGACTGCTTTTGTGCTGCAGGGACACAAATATAAAAATGCTGCTCAAACTGTAACGTTACAGTAGCGTTCGATCAATGTATTGTGACTTTAGTCATTTTGTTTTGTGTTTTTGTCAGTTTTTATTTTTTGTTGTTTTTTAGTATGTGTATATATTTTTTGTTTTCAGTTTTAGTTATTCGGGTACATAACGAGTAAAATAAAATGAGAAATATTGCCTTGTATTTCTGTTAACTTTTATGTATTCGTTTTAAGAAGTGAACATTGTTTTTACGGTTTTAGTTTTAGTTGACCGCGATAACCCTGTTCCAGAGCAACGCAAAATATAGAACACAACAGACTTCAGATATGAAGATGAAATATTCTGATGTGATTGAGGTGCAATTATTACAATGTGTGAGAAATTAAAGTGAAAGAGGTGAAGCTGTATTACGATCATAATATCATTAAACTAAAATCATAAATGTTACTTGAAATAACTGAAATTAAATTTAAAAAACTAAAAAAAAAAACTAAAACCATGAAAATAAAGATTTCTTTTACTTGAAATAACTGAAATAAAATATGAAAAATACTAAAAAAAAAAAAAATTTAACAAAACAAAATTCATTAATTGTAATCAAGTAAATGTTATAAATCAAAATAAAATATAAAAAATACTTAAACTTATTTTATTTCAGCTAGTTGCCAAGGCAAAATTTCTAATTTTTGCTTAAATTAGCTTTAAGAACTAGAGTAGGTCCATAGACCTAAAACTGAACTGTATGTAAATATTTCATAAAAACATTTAAAAAATTTTTTTTTTTTTTTTAAATTACTAAAACTTTAACTAAAATTAATTTGAGAATGGAAAAATTAAAAATTAAAACTACA